TTCTGCCCCAGGCTGCCAAGGGACCCCCCCGAGTCTGCGGCATCTCGCTTGTCGAGTTGGGGTGGGCAGAAGGGGATCCAGCAAAGCTGATCCGAGGGGGCTCGGTGGATTCGGGGCTCCCAGGGCCATCGTGACTCAGGTGTGTTTAGTCTTCTCAGGGGGAAATGAAATGCGTTCATCTTTTCTGCCTCCTACTCTAATAGAACGAGACGGCAAGTTTGCAAATTCTTCACTCCTTTTGCAGGTTTCAAATCATTCAATATTGTTTTGTTTTTTTTTTTAAGGGAAAAAACTAATTTTTTGATTCAGCCTCATGATTAAAGAGACTAAGGACAAAGTGCAGGTTCTGAAAGGTTTCGGATGAGTTGCCCTGCCTGCAAGGATTTGCCGAGAACCGAAGCCCAGTTGGATGTTATCTCAAGTACCAAAGCTTTGTAGGTTTAATGACTAGTCTAACAGAGCGCTTGCCGATAGCAGCGTTGGGCGCAAGCCATGCCATTGCTCTTTCCCGTTTCACTCTGCTTCTCCTCCCTCCGACAGGCACGCTGCTATGGAGTACGGCAACGTGGCTGGAGGCAATCACACCGTGGTGACCCAGTTCATCCTCGTAGGACTGACGAGCGAGCCTAAGCTGCAGACTCCTCTCTTCGTAATCTTCTTAATGATTTATCTCGTCACCCTGATGGGCAACCTTGGGCTGATCACATTGATCAAGACAAGCCCCCGGCTGCACACTCCCATGTACTTCTTCCTCTGCAATCTGTCTGTTGTTGATCTTTGCTACTCTTCCGTCTTTTCTCCAAAGCTGCTTATTGGCTTCTTGGTGGAAAAGAAAACCATCTCTTACTCTGCCTGCTTTGTCCAGCATTTCTTCTTCCTTGTGTTTGTGACCACAGAGGTGTTCTTGCTGGCTGTGATGGCGTACGACCGCTACGTAGCCATTTCCAGCCCGCTGCTCTACACCATTTCTATGCCCAAGAGGGTCTGCCTTCAGCTGGTGGCCGGGTCATACGTAGGGGGGGTTTTGAACTCGCTAATCCAAACCTGTTGCTTGCTGCCGTTGCCTTTTTGTGGACCCAATGCCATCAACCATTACTTCTGTGACACTAACCCTCTGCTGAAACTCACCTGCGCCGATGACCGCCTCAGTGAGCTTTTGCTTGTAGCCTTCAATGGGACCATTTCCATGTCTGTGCTCTTCATCATCATCTTCTCCTACATATACATCCTCTTCTCCATCCTGAGGATTCGGTCCGCTGAAGGCAGGCACAAAGCCTTCTCCACCTGTGCCTCCCACCTCCTGACCGTTACCTTGTTCTACGTGCCTGCGGGGCTGAGCCACCTGCAGCCGGGCTCCAAGTACTCGCTGGAGATGGAGAAAGTCACCGCCGTGTTTTATACCCTGGTCGTCCCTATGCTCAACCCTCTGATCTACAGCTTGAGGAACAAGGAGGTCAAGGATGCACTTAGAAAAGCGACAGCAAATAACGTTTTTGTGGGTTTCCCACTACCCAAACCGAGCCCAACCAGTCGATAAAACTCCCGCTGCATCCCTTTTTAAATAGTCTTATGTCAGCTGTCTGGGGGAGTAAGGAGCTGCATATCTTTACAGAAGCGGGTCCAGCAAACCTTCCACATGCTTTAAAATCTGCAGGGACTCAGTGTTAACAAACACCTCATCGTGATGGATCTCTGATAAATATTTCCTTGTCACCTCTTGGTTTTTCTGTGAAACGATGTAATATCATAGGAGGTGGTAAAAATAAGCTGATAAGGAATTTCCCTCCTAAGCTTAGTTTCTTAAGAAGTCGCACTGATTCAAGCAGCGATTCCTCCAGAGGCAAGCGCAAAGAGGACCAGGGGCTTTTGGGGAGGTGTGTGAAAAAAAAACAAACACCCACACACCTCACTTTGGGCTAACCACCAGGACAAAAACATCTCCCTATTTCTCCCTATTGGCAAGGAGTTTAGCATGACTGAATGTGACTACCTGGGGAGAAGTATTTTTTTTCCCCTATTTTCTTGTCACGGGGCTGTTGTAAGTTTTATTTCCTCCCAGCCGACTCTTCCCCCAGACAGCTGTACAGCCGAGAAGGGACCGCCGAGGGATGCTGCAGAATCTCATACTCTCCAAAGCAGAAACAATCGACTGTTAGAGACCTGGAGCAGTAAGAGCTGGGATGCCGGGTCCCCGCAGAGAGAAGAGGGGGGTCATCTGTCACTTAATGCTAATTTGCACGTGGCTGCATCTGAATTAGTCCAGACATTGGGGTTGGGTTTTTAAATATAGCTAAGATAAAAGATAAATACTCCTAGCAGGATTTCTTTTCGATGACCATAGAAATCATGACCTAAGCACACCCGCTGCATTGTTATATACCAATAACTGAATTTGGTTTTTGCTCAGATGTAAAAGTCTACATTGTGGATGCCTGATATAAAGCAAAATAAAATCCACCCGGAGCATGCAGCTGGGCAGGGGTCACTTTTTGTAAGAGATAGATAGCCACAGGAAGGGAGGGGAGAGTTTTACACCACTTACCTATACAGAAGAGCTTGCTTTATCCTCAGCTTGGGCACTAGAGGGTTTTGCTTAGCATTAAGAGTTATTCACGCTATTTGCATGATGCAAAGTGGCTGAGGGAGCCGCGAGGACCAGTTACTCCCAAAGGGAAGGCAAACTGGGAGGCGAAGGTGGCCACGCCACAGGGTGGACGATAGCCTCACCCGCGGGGCAGGGTCCCACAGTGCCCAAGCAGAGCAGCAGCTCCCATCAATGGCCCAGAAGAAACCAAGGACCAAATTCAAGCCAAGAAATCTGAAGAACTGACCAGGACCAAGCACAGCTCTGAAAGTGGTTAATTACCCAGGGCTGAGCTTAAATAGTGCCCAAGCCCTGGGCAGAGGGTGTGGGTGGAGGCCCCAGGTGATGCTGGCCGTGGCAATTGCGGTGCTTGCACTCCCTGGTGTCTCAGGGAGAGGGGAACGGGGGGTTTTTTTCCCCACCCGGTGCCCTAAACGCTGCTACAGCCGGATGGATCCCTGCTCGCCAAGGCTGGAAGGACGGAGCAGACAGGAGCGCTGAGCTCCTTTGCTGTGTGTGAGCGACTCTCAGCCCCCCCCCCTTCAGAGTTATGCGGAGTGAGGCGCTTCAGATGCCACGTTCTCTGTTTTTCAGGGAAACTGTCCTAATGCCTCTACTTCTCACGAAACCTCCATCAGAAACTTTGATTAAAAACTTTATAGCATGTCACTTCACGCCAGCTTAAAGCTGGTTTTAACTGGTTGCCATTGCGTTCATTCGTTATTTACTACAGTTCTATTAGGAAGACCATGGTTTACAAAGATGTTTATTTTAAAACATAAAATTTATTCGCTTTGTCATTACACAAGCTACATATTCTTCCAGAAATTGTATAGTTCGTTAAACATAAAAGATGTGCCTCGATTAAATGTTAAAAACAAAACTTTGCCTACTGTTTTCTTTAGAACATCTTCCACCTCAGGTGTGCGATGACATACAGACGAGTCATCACTCCGTCAAATTGCCCCACAAAGCACGGACCTCTGACTGCTCATCCAAAAAGGAAAAGATGAGGAGATGTAAAGACAAGGCGTCCCAAGAAGGTTTTGGTTGGGACGCCCTTCTGGCAGCGTGTTGACGTACGTCAGCCCATGACAAGTCGTCAGCACGGCTCTGGGTCCCCTGAGCCAACACCACGGCTTTGGGTTTGCTGATGGTTCTTCTAGAGGTCGGTCAGAAATTGCGTCTGAGGTCACAGCTGGGCCTTCCCCTGCGTGATGACGTTCCACCCTGCTATCACCACGTCACTTCTCTCGGGTACACGTACCCCTCTGGTCGGGGCCGCCTCTGGCAGTATCCTGCCAACCTTCTCAGCCCCTGCTTCTTCTACAGACAGCTGCCATTGCCCGCTTGCCCCTTTACGAAGGGGACCTCGCTGCTGGCTGTCTCGGCAAAGCCTCCGTACGAGCAGCTCTAAGCGAGCTCCCAGGAAAACTCGGGGAGTCCAGGCCACATTGCAGCTCTCCACGTGTCACAGGTCCTCAGTTCTTCAAGCTCATTTGGGGAAAATGGTTGTCAAGCAGGCAATGGAAATTTTAGTAATTGTTTACCTCCAATTTGAGCATCCTTTTTTGCGGGCAATATTTTCATTTAGCGCAATTTAGACCCAAAATATCACAGTACTGTTTCGGTTTTGCTAGGAAAGCACCGAAAGTTATTTTGATTAATCATTAAAAGCTCACACCACGATTAAAATAAACTGAAGTTGTTTGAAGAGAACGAGTCGTTACGCTGGTTCGCCATACGCCGTAGGTGCTGTGTGATCTCCTTCTCTGCAAGCAGACCGATAACACCCGTTCCTTCATCCCCTCCAAAGCACCAAAGAGCTGCAGATGCGTTTTTCAAAGCCTGGAGAGATGCGGCACCAGCTTTCGCACCCACAGCCTCCTCAGGGCCCCCTTCACCTCCTCGTTCCTCAGGCTGTAGATGAGGGGGTTGAGGGTGGGTGTCAGGACGGTGTAACACACTGAAACCAGTTTTGCCCGATCCCATGAGCACGCCTTGCAAGGCTGGATGTAGGCGAGCATCCCCGGGGCGTAGAACGTGGTGATGGCAGCCAGGTGGGAGGTACAGGTAGAGAAAGCTTTAAGGCTCCTGCTGGCCGAAGGCATCTTCAGGATGGTGAGGAGGATGTAGGTGTAGGAAACCAGGACCATCAGGACAGAGCCCACGATGTTAAGCCCAGCACTGGAAACCTGCAAGATCTCATTTGCGCGGGTGTCTGAGCAGGAGAGCTGCAGGAGGGTGGGCAGCTCGCAGAAGAAGTGGTTGATGCTCCTGGCCCGGCAGAAGGACAACCTCCTCGCCAGGACGGTGTGCACCAGGGAGGTGAGGAAGCCCGCGATGTAGACCAGCACCATCATGCCGTAGCAACGCGCCCTGGACATGGTGGAGACGTAGCGCAGCGGCTTGCACACAGCCGTGTATCGGTCGTAAGCCATTACCCCCAGGAGGAAGCACTCACAGATGATCAGAGCAAGGAAAAAATACATCTGGGCAAAACAACCCAAAAAAGAGATGTGGCTTCTCCCCAGCAGGAAGGTCTCCAGCGCTTTTGGGACAATAGCGGAGGAAATGCAAAAATCTATGAAAGATAGGTGGGTCAGGAAGAAATACATGGGGGTGTGGAGCTGGGGGTCGACGTTGATTAGCAGGATCATCGTCAGGTTCCCCAGCATCATTAAAACGTACAGGGATAAGAAAATTGTGAAGGCGGTGGTTTGTAGCTCTGGGGCATCTGAGAAGCCCAAGAGGATGAAGCCGGACAACCCAGTGAGGTTTTCTCCATCCATCATTTCTACAAGCGAGATGAATTTGCATAGAAATAAATCCCTAAGAGAGAAATACTGTGGAAACATCAGAGTTTAATCCATAAAGTACCTGCAGCAGAAAATGGTGTGATTTTTTAGGAAAACACAAGGCAACTGTATTTCTGTCTTTAGACCAAGCTTTGAAGTCAAACAGGTGAAGGAGCTAATTACACAGTCGGGTATTAAAAAAGAGTAATTCTGCCACGATTTATATACACTGTACTAATGATACACTAAGAAATATCAAAATGTTGATCCAAGTTTAAAAAAATGAAGTCAAATAAACACATTCCAAAATGTGGAAAACAGAGAAGGTTCGTATTCTCACCGCTGATTTCTGGAAATTTTAAGCATTTTTTTTTTCCTCCTGGTATTTTTTTTTCAGTGCTCTTCTGTGGCCTCATTAGTTCTGGTGCAGCCTTTGCATCATGAAACAAAGCTGTGCACTTGGAATTGTTTGGGTTTGGGTTTGTTTTTTTTTTTTTAATTTCTAAATTTATCTGCTTTCGAAGAAAAATCCCTGTGCGTGCTGGGTGTGGGGCGGAGCAGTGGTTTTGTCTCCGGCAGAGCTTTGCTGTGACTGCAGGCAACTTTCCTCGACCGACTCAAACATCCACCTAATGGTGTTAAAATACATCATACGCAAACCAAACTTCGTAAAGCTGCAGCTTGGGTATTCCCGCCTCCCCCCTTCAGCCCTTCCGTAGATGAATTATCTGATGGAAGATCTACCTACAGCTGTCTACATCTCAGCTGAAATGTCCCTAGGTCAGTGGTAGATGGGACCAGGCGCGTTGTTTTTTCAGGCAAACCTCCTAACCCCTGCTCGGGCACTTGGGTTCACGCTGTGGATGCTCTTGGAGAGCACGGATGGGCTTCCTTCACATGCAGCTGCACCAGAACATCCCGGCAATGAAACTTCAACCACTTCCCCAGGTCAGGCTGAATTAAAAAAATACAGAAGGTATTACAGTGGGTGCAGGAGGGGAATTAAGTCCCCGCACCACTCGTTTTACTCTACCGACCTCAGGTCGTCTTGGTCAACATCACTTGGGAATGGAGACGTAGCTGTAGCTCCGTCTGGACGACTCATGCGCTTGAAGCATGCGTTTCTCTCTGTTGGGAACAATTTCATCCCGGGGTTAACAGGATTGTGTCCTAGAGGTGTGCGCTTCCATCCCCTGGAGGCAACCGGTGGTGTCCAGCTCATACGTGAACTCGCCGCCCTGGAGAGGACAATCATACCTTAAACAGCTTCAAGGTTAAAAACAAGCTAAATATTAAA